CAGCTATGACATCTGGAGGTAAATAGGAAAAGTAAATGATGGTTGCTTATACGTATATTTCCAAACTTGTAACACACATTCTTTATTAAATTTAGAGTTTTATTTTTATTTTTAGCCAGCTCTCAGAATGAAGCCAGGGGATGTGCTCAGTCTTATTGCATTTTCCAAACGTTTGTGGCCCTGGTGCAAATAAAAAATATTGGTCTATTTTGTTTTTAACAACTATATGAGTTTACTAATTTCGCATGTATTTCACTTTATGTCACACGTGTAGATCGAAAAACTGTAAACATACTAAGTCAAGAATACTAATAAGTTTATAGCATTTAATATTATTAATTAAAACAAAAGTTACATACTCTCTAGAGTCTATACCAATGTCTACAGTACTGTGAAATCACTCGCGCACAGATAATTTATATCCTGGCAATTAACTTTTAGGATATAAAATACCATGATTCTATTCATTTTTTAGGGAGGTGAGAGAGGGTAATTTCAGAGACGTTTTCCCAAGGAACCCTTTCCCTGGAGGTTTCTAGTGCTCCTCCTCCCCATGGCAATGTCCATAGTAAGTATGCTGAAAACACAGGCCTGCGATGGTTTTATTGTCTTGAAATGTTTACTTGTTCTACGGGAATTCCTGTACGCTGAATCTGATAATGATATCCATTTTTCTCCATCACGTAAAAACTTACGTCATAAGTGAATCATTTTCATTGAAATCTTGTCACATGCTTAAAATGTTGACAACCACTGGCTATAGATTTCTCTAGACCAATCGCTACGTGAGAGTCTTATCGATCATTCTAGAATCCACATAGTAATAAAAAATGTTCATTGTGGTAAACGAAATAATAAATTGATTTAAGTAAGAATTTTTTTCCCCGATTTGTAAAAAATCCTTACGTGATAAAAAAAATAATAATATTTTCAAAATCTGCTTAGCTGAATTAGGGAAAATCCGTTATTAAAACCAAAACAACTTTTATGAAGTTGAAATTTGCAGGCCTGTGAAATTAAAGCATCAGTTATTTATTGTAATACCTACTGAAGAATTCAACAAATACTTTATAAACATGTAATATTTTTATTTAAGACAGTTCAATATACATACACAGAGAAAAGCTAAACATTCTTCCGTTTCGTTATTACTAGTTTTGAATAATCACATTAACTCTGAAAAGCAGTTGAAATGAAACGACCAGTATTAGATGACCAATCTAAATCAGTTTTCTTTTATCAGAAGAGATTTTTATGAATCTCGTTCGAATTGCAGAAAAAGTATGTAAAATAATAGCAGACGTCGATGGGTCACTTTAATGGTGAACATACATGCTCCAGTACAATGAAAGACGTTTACGTGATACATAAACATTAAATCTGGAATAACAGCAAAGACGAAAGAAAGAGCAAATTTAGTCTTTATACGAGTAATTGAAAGTTAAAAGGTATGTACACGTGCAGGACTGTTTTCACACCGTACAGTAAAGTCATTTCTTCGTTATCCATCGAGTACAAACAATACAGAAAATGTGTCAAAAGTCTTACCGAAAAAGTCCTTCCTTCTCTATAGATGGCGCAATTTTTTATATAAATAGATACGTTACATTATCAAACAACTAAAGTATATTGTTTAGGCTCTGAAGCTACACAAATAAACAAATCAGGAAACACGTAGTTTTAGAAAATGTATAACAGATCCTTTATATAAATTAATCCCCGTCAATACATACCTGTATTTCTATACAAATTTACCTTTTCTTCTTCAACGCCAGAAATTATCTTCACTGGCTGACATAAATAATTCACAACATACCAGAAACATTCAAGAGAAAAGATATATTTTCATTTTTCTTTAAGACAGAATCATATATTAGAATTATTGCGATTACAGGAAATTCAAGCGAAAGTCCACTTCTGCGAAGAATAACGTACTAGCACAAACAGTTGGCAAACACCTATTTAAATATAACGTACATAAAAGTTGTTTAAAACTTCCGAACAGTTCTTGTCATTTCAATGCTAACTAACAATCATCAGTATACTTTCAGTCATGTGAAGTGTGTTGTTTGGTAAAATAATGTTATTTTTGTAAAGGATAAAACACAGTCGATATTTTTACGGTTTTTTAAAAGTCGGATACGTTAATTAACAAACACCAATATATATATATATTTATTCGCATCATACATGAATTGAAGAATTATCAGACATACAGCCAGTTTCAGTGTAACAATATTGTAGTAAACATAAATGTTTATGATCAACATTTATTGCACACAAAAAACGGAATTATTTATTCTCTACAAGATAAAACAACTAGTATCACTACTGTCACAAGTAGATTTTACTCACTTAATAACATTTTTAGCACTTAAAATAAGCATCTTTTGAGATGTAAAAGCAAAAACCTATACATTTATTATACACTTCGATCTATGAAAAAACAAACGCAGTCATCAGCGCTAGTTCATGGGTCAGGTCATTATTTGATGCTCCTAATTAAACCTGCCATTGCACTTCACGTGTCATATGGACATAAATTATCTTTATATATCCAACGTGTTTACGCTCGTCTAATACAATATTGTTTTATGTTGATTTGAACATAACTATATTCAGTGTATTTCATAAGTTTTAGAAAGCTAGAAAAATACAACAGAAACTTAGTTCGAAATAGCTGTATGCACAAGTTTCTTATTCTAACGTTTCCTTAAGGCCTAATTTTTCTTACAGCCTGAAAAGTCGATAAAAATAACAAACGCAACTTCAGAACAGAGATCACAATTGTCTAACAACCCCACATGGTGACTAGAAGTCCAGGTTTTCATAACGTATTTCCTACACATAACTATCGCTATTAAGCAAAAAGCGAAGAATAAGCAAGCTTTCTTTTAGAACAACATTCAATAACAATGATACACATTAGCAGGTTTACAATAAGTTAATTATACTGTGTCATTGTAGTTACAACCTTAATACACGAAACATTAAGTGAAATAACATTTCACAACAAAAGTCTAATTATTTCATTTCGGCTTTTAGTGAATATATATATATCGCCAAACTACTTGTTTGATGAACTTCTAACTCAGAAGTTCCTACTTAGAGAAGGATTACAATCAAAATTTGGAATCCTTCAATATTAGTCAGCGTTAGCTACAGTCCAACATGATCGTAAAATTCATGTGAGGCCTCCAAACTGGATAAATTCAAACTCAATCTGCGAATCATTTGTAATGACCTATAAGTTTTTCGTCTGTGATATTTAAAATAGGATTTTTCAAAGTATAAAAACATATAAAAAAACTTTAAAATTTATACAATCATGAGTAATAGAAGATCATCAGTCCAAGTACTTCGCTTACGACTAAGTTAATGATAGAACAAGAAAATTGAAAAAGGAAAATCGATTAAGTAATATATACAATCAATTTATATATAACAGTTTTCTTAAGCCACATTACCCTCTTATGATAACAATTACACAACACTGAGGATGTGATATTTTCGAAATATATAAAGAAAAACACGTGTATCGAAACATCTTCTCTCAGCTAATATTCCCGAAAATAAAAATAATATATATATACACGTACAACTTGCTGAAAATATATTCTTACATCTGCCCTTAAATTATATTTCAGAAATTTGGTTAGTAAACTTCAATTGAACATATAATTTTTTCATTTATTGTTGTTCTACAATGTTTCATTCCAAATGTTATTTACACAACAAATGATAATAAACAAACAAGTTTCCCAGGTAATCACAATAATTCTCCATAACTGACTTGTTCACGTGTAATTTACTGACATTTTTAATAGAATACTAATTTTCCCACGAAAGACTACAGCTAAACAGCCGAGTCAAACAAGGCCAAATTTTAATGTTATCATTTCAGAACACATGTAGAGCACAGTCGAAACATTACTGGTTTTGTAATAACTTAAATGTTGAAATTTCGAATATTGTCCTTGTAAAATTGACGAAAAACCGCCACTTTCCCCATCATTTTTAAAAGAAAACTATTAATTAGTATATACCAGACATCTTAATATATTTTAATAAGATATTGTCAACAAAACTAACAGCTTTCTCTATAAATTATAATGATGACGAAAAGTACGTAATATATATAAATGCTTACACGAACTTAATATCTCTTAATCCCCTACCCACTTAAATGTGAGATAACTGAAAGATTTTTGAAGATTCTGTGATTCTGATTTAATAAACATGATGTTTAATTTGTTTCATTGAACGTTTAGATAAGCAAGCAACGTGGAACGTATTATATATACGATATTCGACGGATTTACACTGAATTAAAAATCCGTCAATAAAATCTTTCAATTATTTTTAATACTAGAAGACGCTCTAAGCCAGCGATTTTCACACTATGGGCGCCTCTCTACAGAGAAGCATGTGTGATTGATTTTTTTATTATAGCAAAGCCAAATCGGGCTATCTGCTGTATACACCTAAAGGAACTGAACCCATGATTTTAGCGTTATAAATCCACAGATTACCGCTGTCCCATCGGGGAACCTACAGGGAAGTACAGCGCTGGCTGCGCGTCAGTGTTTTTAAGAAAGAAGGTTTGACGATTTAAAAAAAAAAAAAACTTGTTAGAAAAATATCCCAAACAAAAAACGAATAAAGAACAATATACCATATATAGTTTTTGTTTATCTTACCTTACTAACCGTGACACTTTTTTTTGTTGAATTTCATGTAAAGCAACTCGAGGCAATCTGCACTAGTCGCTGCTATTTTTGAAGTGATAGACTAGAGAGAAGGCAGTTAGTCAGCACTCACCGCCAAGTCTTAGGTTACTTTTTTACCAACAAATAGTGGTATTAACCGTCACATTATAACGTTCCAACGCTGAAAGGGGTGAATAAGTTCAGAGTTTGGTTTCGATTCCACGACTCGCAGATTGCGAGTTAGGTGCCTATCCACCCTACCATGCCAAGCCCTGACACTTAAACTTGGTGGTTTTTTTTCCACAGCAATATCTTAAATCGTAAACTATGGGGAGGCGCAATTGTTTTTTGATATTTTTAAAGATCCTTGGGGAGGCTTGCTTTGACAAAGTTTGAGAACCATTGTTTTAGATAAATTACTTACGTTACTAAAAAACAAATTCACCTACAGGGAAAAATAACATATTGGTTCTTAAAAATTGTCAATTAGCCTAATGTCGAGATAGTGCTCAGTTGTATATATTTTCTTACCACTAGATGACGCTAACATACGAAACATCGTGATAATCAATAAATATTATTATACTTAATCAGAAATACAAACCAAAATGATATTATGTATTATTATGCAAAAAAAAAAACACAAAAAAAACAACAACAACACGTATTTAAAAATGACACCATGAAGAAATTTAGTTGTTTTTTTTTTTTACATTCGAAAACTCTGCTATTTGTTTAATATTACTTTATAGTGATAATGAAAACAAGCAAAACCTATATTTCGGCAGCGCTGTGAATTTTCCGGAAATATAATAAAAAAGTAAAACTAAAAGTAATAACTAAAACACGTTACACATACATGTTAGAATTTCATAACATGAAACGTATTGACACAGTTTCTTTTCGCAGGTCTTCATGATTCGATACTCCGGCTCAAACTACTGGTTAAACTTCCAAACATTCCTCGTATTATTGACTTTAAACCCTGTAAAGTAAAAATGTTTATGATGATAAAAACAATTTATTTTGGATATATTAATAATAAAGAAATACTGTAGCATTAGAACAGTTAATATCTCAGACTAGAATAATAACCAGTTGCTATACGTATTTTGTATTGTACAATTTAAACACTTGCAACAATAACTATTGTAAATCATTAATATTAGCAACTGAAATACCATTACATTTTGATCTGAATTATTTTGAAAATTTGCTCTTAACGTTTTGATATCGATAAACTGCTTGGAACCCTTTATATCCATATAAATAAAGCAACATTTAATTTAATGAACCCTTAAGATATATTCTTGTAGATAACATTTAATGTAATTTAGTCATCTATAACAGAATACTATTTGATCCCTGGACTTTTATCATATGCTTTAAATGTAATCTGCTGTAAAAACAGGAATCAAAATTCAGTAACAACTATCAGGGTGTTCAATAGTATAATTTAAAGAAATACGTGAAATGTTTAGTTATAAACTTAAGCCTACTTTCGATTCAGTCACCGTACCTTCCTTTGTTGACCTTCGCAATTCTTTCTAGCTAAGGCTTCTCGATGAGCGTCAAGACACTTCTGGTAACGAAGCTATGGAAAATATTAATTACAGAAAAACAAAATAATTAACACTAGATTGTTAGGTTGGATGCAAAAAAAAAAAATGTGAATTAAGATTAGGATGACAGTTGTGTAAGTTTTGACACAGAGGTGTAAAAGAAATACAGTAAACGTCGTGATGATAACGCAATAAGATGTTGAAACATGTATGGTGTATGAGACTGGTCCAATTTATTGTGTACTATTGAACGTTGACTTTATTCCTTTAATACATATGTGTGAAACTAATGTGGAGTTTACTCACTTAAATTGTGAGAACTTTTGAAATCTGTTTTTGTTGCAAAGCAGCGAAGTGGGATATATGAAGTGTATCCGTTGCAGGAGTCACACTCTGAATTCTAGAGTTATAAGTCTTGAAGCTTATCACTGAGCGACCAGTGAACTAACATATGAAGTAAACATTTCTTAATCAAACAGTTCATAATTTATAGATACATTAATAAGTTACAAATGTTGACTTATATCCCATGGATTTACTCAGTTGTTTTTATGTTTGGAGTTGCTTAAATCTTTATAGTATTATAAAATTGGACTATTGGCTTTCATTTTACCTATCCAAAAGATTTACAACTGCATTAGGCCTGCAGCTAAATAAAAATTTTGATTTTATTGCAATATCAAACCCTATAAAACAACACCAAAATCAATCTTCAGCAGCGAAAGATGACTTAGCCATCAGAAGTAGATTTAGCTGAAAAGCTTGACAGCTTCCATAAATGTCTCGAAATGACCAATGAATGTATGAGTGACTGCGTAACTAAAATATAGGCCAAGCCGGCTTCAAAATATCAAAACATATCAATCTCCACTGAGGGTTATACTTGGCTATCGATCTAGCTGGCTAACGTACGCTGTTTAAGTTCGAAACTGTACATCTCAGACAGTCAGGGTACGATTCTATTTGATGGTGTAAGCTAATAGGTGTTAGATTACAAAAACTTGTGTTGTAGCTCAATAAAGACGGAGTTATAGAATCAACTCGCGCATATACTAGCAGGTCCGATTTGTCTGACGATGTTAAAAATAAAAACACTGATAAAGATAGACAGATATATAGACTTGGGGAAATTCGCTGTTGAAGGTTTACAGAAATGTTGCATTGTATAATAAGGTCGAACTTGTCTGACAATGGGCAGACTAAAACTGGTTTAAGACTTTGTTCCGAAAAAGGCTATCAGACAGAGAACACGATGAAGAAATGTACTAGTTTTAAGAAGTCATCTTAATATTTTTCGAATAAAATATGGACTACCATATGCTTTAGAATATTAATATGTGAGATTGGATATTATCCTATAGTGTAACTTTTTTTCTGAGTGGCCAACCTACAATCAGACGTGTGAAATAAAGTCTTACATCTACATTGAACTGCAAAGTTTAGTAAAACTGACATGTTTATCCCGAACGACTAGCTCAGAAGAATAACTAACTTTGTTTCTATGATAGTAACTTAATTTTAATTTGTTGAAGGACCAGTAGTTACTTCATTTTTTGTGTATGTTATTAAACCAACTAGAATAAGGTACTAAAATATAATAGATTATTTGTTGTGGAATTTCATGAAAAGTTACATGCCTTACCCGTCTCTAATTTAGAAAGCAGCTGGTTATTATCACCAACCGCTAACTCTGGGTTACTTTACCAACATAAAGTGAGATTGACTATCATATTGTAACGTCCTCACGATTTAAAACGCAAGCATGTTGTGGCGGGATTCGAACCCGCAGATTGTGAGTCGAGCGTCTTTAATCATCAGGCTATGCCAGGAATGTAATAGATATCTTTGCTCAGAACTGTTTTACTATATCAATAACCAAGCACCAAGAAAAAAAACCAACAACAAAAATCAAGAAAATATGTTTTAATTGATATGTCTTATTATTTGATGAATAATGTTGTAAAACATTTTCAGTCATCCAGCTTATATGATATATATCGAACATTAATGCTTGCTTGAAATCGAAGGTTTCAATTAAACATATGTACGTTATGTAGTTGATTTGCAGTCTTTTTTTCAAAACTCACGAAAAAAAAATTGGCTCATCTTCCATCTACTTTTTTAGATATTATGCTTCAGCGTCTAATATTCAATTTGGCTAAATCAATGGTACGTACTCTATACTTCTGAGCGCCACAACTCCTGTGTTGTTATACAGTGATCTTTACTTGGTTGTAAGGATATGACGTCTGCGCAAAAGCTTCAACTATTATGCTGACAGTAAACATGAAACTATACATCTTGTTATTTCCTCACCTTGCAAGCTGCTTCAATTGTTTTGCAAAGTGGTCCTGAGGAAGGCTCACAATGGAACACGTAGGCAATAAACTGATCATCTGCTGTGTGCATGATGAAAGCACAGTGTCTGGAAATAAGCAGGAATAACAAAGTTCACTATCTCTTTTGTATGGCTCATATTCTATATTCTTCATTTATTATACATTCATTGCCTATAGAATTCGAATATATTATTTCCTACAAGGATATATATTATTGCTTATAAGGATATATATAATATCCTATATTATTTTTTAAGATATCAACAATGTTAACCAACATGAATTATACATATATCTGATAGATCTAATATTAGACTAAGATTATTTAAAAAGTTTTTATCACAAATAAATTAAATCAGAATGAGAAAGTACTTACTTCACTATTTGTCCAATGCCTAAAAAGGTCAGATAGCGCACTCTACATTCAGCTAGTAGTCTTGGATCAGGCTGTTCAAAAAAAAGAGACTGTAAATAGAATGTAACTTACAAAACTTGATGTTAATAAAAGTTAAACAAAAGGGTTGCTGTGCAGAAACGTTAAGCATAAGCCAATTGACTGTTAACAAATATGTTGCAAAATAGAGTTAAATATTAATTTAACTCTAATTAACGATATAATTACTTACGCCTATCTTCGCAATGGCGATAGTAGAGGGCGACACAACAACATCAACGTATCTGTAGGCTTCAGATGGCACTGATACTACCAGTTCACTGATAGCGCTGTTGATGACGTCCATACCAGAAGGTTTTAGCACCAATGTAGTTCCAAGGTAGTAAGCTTTAATAATTTTTCTTGGTTCTTCCATAGGAGTAGGGAAAGACTGACCTATGTAGTAAAATACGTAGATAGGTAACTTATATTATCCTTTAAGAATTGTTTGATTCATCTATTAAAATACAAAGCGTTTTATATCAGGCATATCAGGAAATGATTAGCAGCCAAACAAACACATATTTTTCTAAAACACACAATAATTTCTTCTTTTTAAGTGTTAAGCAAGGTAATTTCAATCTAAACTTATATAATATGACATATAAGTATGAAAGCATTTCTAGAAGTGCTCGTGGTAATTATTCTACAGGTTTTACAGATAAGCGGACTAATGCCAATAATAGAATTATTTAAAATGCTTAATTATATATTAATCTTTTACTTTGGTTTGTTTCTTAACATGTCATTTACTAAAAAATATTATTATGAATCACAAGACAAATAGCGTTTCGTTATATCTAAAATACATTATTATTACGTTTTCCAAGTTAAATTAATAAATATTATTATAATAAAAACAGTTTTTTATTAATATCGTGAAGTGCATAGTGCGAGATTTAAAATATTATTAAACTGCACATTTTCTGATTAATTTTTCCCCAATAAACTTAAAAGAAAAAAGTCAAATAAAAGACGGAAGAAACATAAGTTAGATTTTTTATTTCTTTGGTAATTTTACAAATTGAAAAACAAGATGCCAAATTTTGGGATATTCATGATATTAATGTATACTTGTTTGTTTAGGATTTCGCGCAAAGTTACACGAAGACTATCTGCGCTAGCCGTCCCTAATTTAGCAGTGTAAGACTAGAGGGAAGGCAGCTAGTCATCACCACCCACCGCCAACTCTTGGGCTATTCTTTTATCAACGAATAGTGGGATTGACCGTCACATTATAACACTCCACGGTTGAAAGGGCGAGCATGTTTGGTGTGATGGGGATTCGAACTCGCGACCCTCTGATTGCAAGTCGAGCGCCCTAACCACCTGGCCATGCCAGGCCTGAAGGGAAAAATGACTCCTACAATTTAAAAACCATGCTACGAGTATTTGAAAGTTATCTTTCAATAGTTGATTTTATATCTTTGATTGTATACTGTATTAAGTATATCAGTGTACTTACTATTGTAAACATTTCTTGAATTCATATGCCTCAGACGCCTTTGCTCCACTGGTAAGTTGGTAGGCCTAGCAGCTACTGCTTTTATTCCCTGCCTTTCGGCTTTCATCGTTGGCTTTGAAGCAGCGTGGGTAACGAGATTTGCAAAATTTTGTTGGTAGCTACGTTCTAACATGATTTTTTTGCACAAGTCTCTCAGTGTATTGGCGATAATTCGTGCAGGGATGTCACAGCGGAAGACGTGGCACATCTGCTTCCGAGTAACCCGATCTCGTGCAACATAGGCAAAATCCCTGTGGTCAAACCCCACAAGGAATTGTTGTGAGAAACAGGAATTTAAAGTGAAGAACTTAAAAACAAGTGTGATATAAGTTATAAAATGCATTAATGAGATTGTTGAAAATTATGACACGTCTAACCTTTACAATTCACTCAACTAAGTTGTTCTTCCATTGAATAATTAGAATAATGACAAAACACTAGGCTGAAATCTGGGGTTTAACTTATTGCATTATAATCAGTTATATTTGTCATAAAACTGCGGTATTAGGTTTATTTTATTTTAAAACGCTAAATTGTTTATTCGGTCCCTTTGAGTTTTCCGAGGAGAAAGTTTATTATATTCCAGCCAGCCTGATGAGCTCTGATACTGAGCGAAACGAGTCGGCGGCAATGGACGTGGAGGACATAGTGTGGTTGAAATACCGTTATACACATTTCTTCTAATTGAAAAAGCCTAATGAACTGAATAAAGTATGCAGTATTTAAAAATAGCATTATGCACTCTTCTGCTAGGAAAAGCCCTAAGGGACTAAATAAAGAAGTAGTATTTGAAAATACAATAAGCCTAATACCAATGTCTTATGACAAATGGTATTGATTATAATCATACTTCGCCAGCAAAAGGCGCTCACATTATAACAGTTATTATTTCATTATATTTCTAATTTTGTGAAGTAACATTTTATTTCTAGAATGAAATACACCGAATAATAGTAAGTGTTTAGAAAAATTACAAGTAATCCGACTATCAAACTAAACATACGTTTAACTGATGTTTTACTAACAGATTAAAAATATAAGTTTTGATAATCAACTCTTAAGGCTGGTGAGAGGTTTTCACTCTTACATATGAATATATTTATAGTTGCTCACCTGAAATTGTTGTTTGGTTACTCAGCATTATTCAAATTTATAACAAGAAATAAAACATTATAATGTAATTCTCAATAACGAAAATATTATCATTCAGTATTTTAATGAAACAAAAAATACATGCAATTAAATACATTTTAGTGATAGATAAAAAAGTTGTTGGCATTTATAATTCTACTGAGGTTTAAAAAGAGTATAATAAATAAAGATCAAAATATCGTATTAGAAGACATATTAGTTTTAATTGAAGTAAGACACTATACTTTCCGCCGTATGAAAAGTCATTACTCCACTTTCATTACCAAAAACAGAAAAATAACAACAAAATATTTAGAGAAACTAAGTACCTTTCTCTGTATTAAAGGTTTGTTCCAAACAATTTATCAGAAAGCACGAAAAGATGGAGAAAACAAAAATTAAGTTAGTTATTGAAGAACTAAGGACTAAATTATTATTTATAAATTGATCTATCTGTCTATCTATCTTTATTCGTTCTGAATATCTTTTAACCTATCTTCATTTCCTGTTGTTACTGAATTTTTCCAAATATAGCATAAGGTTGAAATGTCCTGGTTTTATTTTTAGTCTAACCTTAACAGATTATCTTACAAGAAAATTCATGGTAAAATTGACAGCAGTAAATAAAGAAACTTTAATATTTTTAAACATCAACAGGTAAACATGATTGCTTTGTAAAAGGAATGAAACATTTCAGTATTTATATTTGTGGCAAAGTTATCTATCAACGTCCCTAATTTTGAACTGACGGAAGGCAGCCACTCAGCAGCACCCTTCCACCCACCATACACGCTAAGAGATTGACTGCAACTCCAGTTTAAAGTGCAAGGAAAATTTTGTGGTATCGTGCGGATTCGAACCTGTTAAGACAGCTCTGAAATCCAAAGCTCTACCACAAGGTTAGCCCGTGCCCAAAACGTTTCAAAATCCACTTATTCATAAAAATATAAGCTAACATTTTTATGAATGATACAAATGAAATTCGATGCTATAATTTTTTTAATATAAATAATAGAGATTTCAACTTTAATTAAAATAACTATATTTATATTTGATTGGTCCTGTTTATGCTAACATTTATATCATTTAAAAATATTTTTTTTGTTCTGACATTAATACACTGTGAGGTATCGTATTAATACTTCTTCTAAGTGTTCATTATATTTTACAATTGTAATTTAACATTACCGTGGTTTGCTTTATGTTTTAGAGCTGTTGTTGAAACTTTAAACGATATAATTAATTTTAATTTTACTTTCATTCTAAGTGTAAGTTAAGAATTTATCTTAAAAAATATTGGTTTGACTGTAATCTGAACTACTCATTTGACGAGAGGAATGTAAAGCTTGAAGTGCAGTTTAAACTGAAATACTGTCCCTAAAAACCTAAAAAGTGAAACACGTATCGTTTACTTCATTATTTTGTATCTATTTCTTTAGAATCGTTTAAAGCATTTGAAATGAAATTATATACATTCATACACATCCTACTGTTTGTAAAAAACTGTTACATTAGCTCTTTACTTCAGCTACTCACATTCTTGACATAACAAGAACATTTTAAAAGTAAAATCGCTACAGATATAATGATAACTGAAATTTAGATTACTTTCCTATTTCTGCTATGACAGTTAGTAAAATTGCTTATATTATTTGAATCCCCTTTCACACATGTTATATATATATATATATTGACGAAGATTAAAAAATATAACTACGAAACTGAAATAATCATTAAGGACGAATTTTCAGTGAAAGACGAATGCAGTTAGAAAAACGTTTCGGTTTAAATCTCCAAATCTTTAATGAAGAAAAGTGAACGGTTTATTGAAACTTCAACGTTTTATTAAGTTAATTGAGCAATACCAGTGAAGATATACGTGCACATTTCATCAAAACATCGACATCCCTTTGAGAAGTTCATAAAAGATAACTTTTGATTACATATTCAGTTTGCTTCATGACAAGTTCTCTAAAAAGAACTGTTGATTATATATATACTTTATTTGCTTCATGACAGGTTCTCTAAAAAGAACTGTTGATTATATATATACTTTATTTGCTTCATGACAGGTTCTCTAAAAAGAACTGTTGATTATATATATACTTTATTTGCTTCATGACAGGTTCTCTAAAGAGAACTCTTGATTCTATGCTCCATTTTCATTCAGTTATTTTTTTCTCCATGAATATCGAAATAGTATTGATGAAGATTTACTATTCTACAACGTATAGTAATCTGTCTACTGAATATTCATCCTTAACTGTTAAGTAATAGTTATATCTTTCAAGTAACAAAAACTACCGTGAAATTCATAACTAGACGTTTTTACATGCACTGAATTCATGTTTTGACTGCAATAAAAGTACGTGCAGAAAGTGAATCTGAGTATAATTATAATATATTATAAATAAATTTATAATAGTGTATAAAGAGAATATGAGTTTGATATACTAATTGTGAGATACAAACCTGCCGTTATCTCGGCCCACTCCCCATACTCGTATTGTTTGGATGGGCTGAATATTTAGAACAGTTAGGTCGTGAGGATTGATTAAACGAAGACAGTAATCATCCAGGTCCATGTACAGGTCTTTTCCCTGAAACACGTTAGAATTTATCACGAAACCGAATGTTTTTATTTTAGTCTTCACTTAATTCAGAAACTGTATAAAAAATTTCAAAACCTTATAGAAGGAGCTACCAAAGAAAGTATTCTACACTCTTATATTCTTGAGAGCATTGAAAACCTAGAATTAGAACATTTTGTTTTCATTAAATGTGTTACTTGAACATTTGTTCCTGATTTCGAAGCAACAAGTTTATAAATGGTTTTCCCTTCGTGTGGTATGTTTCCTCTGACTTCTTCATCGAATTATGATAATGAAATCATTGGGGTGTGGTTTATATATATATATAAGTCCTAAACTTTCCCCATCCCTTAGGCCTTTAATGATTTATATTTGCTAGATGAAAAAATAATTTAGTCACTTAGGACTTACGGTGATAAAAAATAATCCAATTATGTTTAAATTAAACTTCTCAATACTGGGTTAGTCCTTTGAGAATTTTAACTGTTAAATGTCAACAGATTTTTACTCACCCGAGAAAGAACCTTGGTGAGAAAAAGAGTTACACACGCAAGTCCTGTTCTAGGAACTCTCGAAACTATCGGGTCATCCTGAATAAACTATTATGATTTCTTCCTTTTATTCATTGAATGTACAACTGTCGCGTTTTAAAACGTTCAGGTACAGGATTGTCTTTGTCAGTTCACATATTTAGATACTGTTAAACGAAGTTTACACAAACACTACTTTTATAAAATGTTTGTATGAAACGAAAGAGACAATTTAAAAAAATGTATATATATATATATATATATACAGGTCAAATTTTAGTCAAGTGCTTATCAATCAGGCTGTGTGAAACATACATAGTGGGCAAATATTTCGGAAATTAAATCTAAATGAGAATGAGATGAGATTATTTAGCGTTCAGTAATTTTTGTGAAATTCCATCTACTGTTGCACATCCTATTAAACATGTATACACTTACATCTCCCCATCGCCCAATGGCATCCAAAATGTCATTCCGTCCAAGACTCAAATCAACAATACATTTATTGACAGCTTTGCTGCTTTTCTCGGGAGTTAGGTCCTCTTCTGCTATTTCCGCCCATCCTAGAGATCGTACAGCAAATCTAATGGGCTTCTGAAATATTATTAAAAAAAAAACTGTACTTTTGATCTCTTGGATATCACCTCTTTTAGATCTGGGAATATAAATACGTGTATCTTTATTGGATTACGTGAAAACTAAATCCAAACAGTACTATAAACAACAAATAATATACTCTATCTATAAGTATTATACGGTTTTTACTAACAATGTTATTTTAGAAGTGTCATTTGAGTTTACAAAAGTAAAATAATTAGCACATATTTCAACCAGATAAATGAAATCTACATTGTGCAAAAATTCCAAGACTAGGTATCGTTTTACTGCTTAACTATGATTTTCTGAGCTGACCCCCCCCAGTGGCCCAGCGATATGTCTGCGGACTTACAACGCTAGAAACCGGGTTTCGATATCCGTGGTGGGCAGAGCACGGATAGCCCATCGTGTAGCTTTGTACATAACTAAGAACAAACAAATCTTCTGACCATCTAAAGAACGTAACTAAAATATCTCACAAAAAATATTATTAAAAGGTGAAACTCATTGCAAGTAGACTGCATTTGGTTTATCACCTAGAATAAAGTTTTATGTAAAAAAATAGCAAACCTTTTAACTTCTATTTATAAAATGTATTTGTTTTTCGCGAAACGTTTTTAAATTTGGTTAAAACAATAACAACATGGTATAATACAGTAAAATTTTACTTTAACTTATTTTAATTATTTATGATACGCTTAAATTTTATACTAAGTGTCCTACCTTATCAGGCGTTAGGCTACACAACCGCTGAGGGTAGCTTCGTCTTCTGCAATTTTGTAAATACATTGTTGTTAATTTACGTTTAAACTCCAGATATAATTAATAAGTCGGAAATTAAGAATGGGGTATATACGACGAAAAACTTAAAATTCTCATTCTGGTAAGGTAAAAATTACATAGTAAAAACAGGTCTCCCGGTGGGTCAGCCGTTAGATTACGGACTTACAACGGTAAAATCCGTGGTTCGATTTCTTACGGTGATACAGCGCAGATAGTCCATTGTGTAATTTTGCGCGAAATTCCAATCAGTTGTACAAACTGTGATAGCAACTTTCCTGTCGCAATTCGTACGACACCTGGTGTGTCACAGAACCAGAAGATTGTGAAGTATAGAAATTATACAAATGATAAAAATCTCAATGTTTTATAGCCATTTCTTAATAAAAACAAATTTAATTAGCATTAAACATGAATATCGTATTTACCATAATAAAAAGACGAAAACATCTTGACGATTTTTTGCTCCAAAATTTATTTTAAATATTGTTGAATGACTGAAAGAAGAAACAACGAAACAAAACCAATAACTGGATTGTTTTTTGTTGTTATTATCAGACATCCTGAAGGAAACTAATAATATAATGATTAAAATTATCACCTAAAACAAATCATTAACTAGGTATCTGTGTTCATTTGTATCTTGCGAATCGGAAGATATTTCATGAACTGTATTTCACTGTGGGCAATGCTCTTGCGCAAAGGTTTACTGCACTTTCGTTCTTTCCCTCTTTTTGATGGAAGATTCATGGATAAGATTTTACGTATTTTGTTTGTTTGTTTTTATTTTGCGCGCGATTATATTTCACATGATACTGTGACATTTTATAACACACATTCAAACAAGTATGTATGAATACACGTATTATATGCATTTTAGGTATAAAAATGATGATACAAGTTTTTTAAAAATGAAAATGGCATTGCACTTCGAAGAAAGTGAAAATAGCTCTTAAAATAACATTATAAAACAATAAAGATAATGCACCTAAGTTATAAAAACTATGAGGGAAAAAAGAATAGGAATGAATAAATGAAACGAGAAGAAACGTAGAAAAAGAAGATTAGAAAAATAAAACCACCTTTGAGAAAAGTAGCAGCAATAAGAGCAAAAGAAAATAGATAAGTAAAATTTGAGAATTTTAAGTAATAGAAACATCGGAATAACACACGAAAAACAGAATAAAATATAACCAAGTGGAAGACACAGATGAAGCAAAATCAGGATGGAAGAACTGAAAAAAAAAGAAAAAAAGATAACCATTGAGGTAAAACTGAGATCAGGAACGAGAATCCCAGCAAAACTGAAAGACGTATATGGTCATAAACACAGACCGATAGAGCAGTGAATTATAAAAAAAAATATTGGAAGGGAAGAAATAAGCATGATAATATAAAAACAGGAAAGAGAGAAAAATTTTAAACTACGAACTGATGAAAAAAAAAATCAGAAAAGTTATTCAGAAACCTCATACTGTTGGTCACGGAATGCGTGTGCAACGGATTAATAGTATGACAAGGGAGAGAGAGAGAGAGGAAGAAAAGAAAGAAAAACAGAGAAGGGAAATAAAATAGTAAGGTGGAAAAAGTTATACAAAAGCCTAGAATAAAGTGAAAAAACTCTCAAGTAAGTTTCTATGGAAAAAAGAGCCCTTGGACTAAAACAGCCATGAGCGAGATAAGAACAACCACAGAGAGATACTGGATAAGATTAATGCATACTTCAACTGGTTCTCTTGCCGTCGAGTGAGTCCCGAGATCGTTTCCTCTTCGAAAACTTTACCGGTAGGTGGAGATGAAGCTGCTAGACTTGATAACTATAGAAAAAGTAACACGCTGTTGAAACTGGCAATAATGATGTTCTGAGCTTCGTAAACTTGGTAATTTTCTTACCCACGTACAACATCATTCTTTGAACTAACCTTAATATCCAGCAGGTAAAATTAAGCATGGTAAAAGTTAATTATAATTATTATGAAAAATGGCAAAAAACGTAGTGCACTGGACAGATTTTAGCTAATATTTGTACACTTTTTTCTGGTTACTTTTCCACAGAAACATTTTCTACATTCGATTTTTAATAATTTCAGCAAAACATAATAAATCTTGTAACGTATGTAATCAATTGCAAGTTGAAACGGATTTGAATGACTTCACAAACAAAAAGAATAAGTCACAATTTTTATAGTAAATGTATATATATATCCAGAACATAATTTTTTGTTTTTTTATTTCATTTACGACTTCTTGGGGAGTTAGTTGTCTCACAAACACATTACCGAAAGAGACAAATAACTCCTGATCATGGGTGCAAATATGTAAGAAGGTGGGGTCAAAAAGTGCAGTGAACCCAGTTCCGGAGCCAGGAGGTCTAAAACATACAAGTAATAATAATAATAACTTCGTTTTCACAGTAATATTTCTATCGACACGTGTGTATGCATATATATATATATTCTAGATGTAGGATGTAGCACTTACGAATTGACAATTGTACGCTCTATCCGGTCATATTTAAGCATTCCCAAGGCTGTGTTTCATTACTAATTATTCAAACCACATGATATGACACTATAAAGGGTGGCAATCAAGACTGGCAGATAGACCAGCATGAAAGCATGATGTGCCTTGTTGTAACACTTCCAAAGTACCCGGAGTTGCACAGATTTGATGAAGTGATTGGCAGATGGGCTAACAGTAGCATGAAATCATGATGTGCCTTGTTGTAACACTTGCAAAGTACCCGGGGCTGCACAGATTTGATGAAGTGATTGGCAGATGGGCTAGCAGTAACATGAAAGCATGATGTGCCTTGTTGTAACACTTCCAAAGTACCCGGGACTGCACAGATTTGATGAAGTGATTGGCAGATGGGCTAGTAGTAACATGAAAGCATGATGTGCCTTGTTGTAACACTTGCAAAGTACTCGGAGTTGCACAGATTTGATGAAGTGATTGGCAGATGGGCTAGCAGTAACATGAAAGCATGATGTGCCTTGTTGTAACACTTGCAAAGTACTCGGAGTTGCACAGATTTGATGAAGTAATTGGCAGATGGGCTAGCAGTAACATGAAAGCACGATGTGCCTTGTTGTAACACTTGCAAAGTACCCGGGGATGCACAGATTTGATGAAATGATTGGCAGATGGGCTAACAGTAACATGAATGCATGGTTTATCACGTTGTAATACTTCCAAAGAGATCACTAGTGGGTGTCATTAGCTATTGCAAAAATTGTTTGTTAGTGTTATGCACTCAATATGTTCTAATATATTGTTTGTTAGTGTTATGCACTCAATATGTTCTAATATATTGTTTGTTAGTGTTATGCACTCAATATGTTGTAATATATTGTTTGTTAAGATTGTGTTACACTTTTACTATAATACATGTATTGCTATTATCATTCACTAACTTAATTACATCGAAAAAGTTGATTTGCTAAGACTTCAAGCTGGTATATCATAAAAAGAAAAAATATAATATTTACACAGGTTTTTTTTTATTTTGCCGTTTATTTTCGGTTTGCTGTAGGTTATTCAGTACTGCTGTCTTGTATTTACTTAATGCTTCAGTTTATGTTTGGCTAACCCTTGTTGCCTCAGAATCTCCAAATGACTTCTTGAACCGCCCTGAAAAACACTAATTGCGCTTCCTGCTCCTGAATACACGAAAATGCAAAATAATGAGTACAAGAACATTATACTCTGGAGATAAAGGTCACATATATATTTACGATAGAAATTATGTCCAGCAAAAAAAAAAAAAAAAAACCCAAGTTAATGTTAAATAATCGAGAAACAGAGTAAACCAGTTTTGCTTCCAAGAATCATTTATATTTGAGACCTCTTGATCCAACTCGGTCATAACTGTGTTTCCATGTCCAAACCAAATATAAATTCTAAAGAGAAACTGATATTAATAAATTTAAAAAATGTACCTCATTTTTCAAGATGTGTAATAGTTTACCTTAATATTTGGATTTTCTGATGACACCTTCATTTGTATGATTATTTTCAGAGATATTGAATTTCTTTGTCAACTTAACTTTATATAAATTAAAATATATGAACAGCCCATAACACTTACAGGGTTCCATACTGACTCCAGACCAACAGACGATCGTTTGGATTGAATGGTATAGTTGACCATTGGAGGTACCGTTGGTGGGGGTGGCTGCCTCTGAATACTTCCACTACTGATGTGCCAGTAATACGGACCACTTTCATCTGGTAATAGCAATGTTAGCTTCTGAAGTTATACGCATGCGTAGAATGAATTTAAAAACAAAACAGTAACACGAATTTCGTCTAAAGACTAATGTAAATAAAGACACATATTGTCCAGGTCATGGCGGTCGTAAGCAGTTTTCAAAATAATTATCTTTCCAAAACTAGTATACTCGCCAACAAACATCTTTATAAATGTATTTTGCTATATAGAATAGTTTAGGAGCAAAGAAATTACTTTTTTTTACATTATAGAGATTCGCTGACCATTGGGTCACACAGTTTTACAATCTATTATTTTTTATTCGAGATCAAAATGTACATGAAGTGATTTGCCTGAAACAACCCACCTTCGTGTCTTTCCCAGCCGGGAGGCAACAGATCATCTTTATAACATGTGTTAGGACTATCTGCCTTCTGAGTACTCTCAAGAGAAGAGACTTTTTGTTCTTCAGAAGGTTTTTCAGGTAAGGGAATAGATTGTCTCTTCAAATACGTAGAAACTGCATCTTTTTTGACAGCGCTCTCTACTGGTGGAACATATTTGTTTGCTTCGTTATGGTGTTGTTGTAATGTTGTTGTAATGGATTGATCTGCCACGTGATTACTGAAATAAAGAACGAAAACCCACCTTAAATAGATCAATAATCACCTTTAATTGCGAACTATTATCATTACAACACACAAGTGTTGTAGAGAGTAAATGTCAAGTGTATATCATGTGAAGTGGTTAACGTATAACGAATGCAATTCAGAATTTCAGTATTTTATATTTAGGGAACTGCAGAAAATGAAATTTCAGTTTGTACAGGAAAATATAAATGTCAAAGACTAAATTTGGAATGAAAACTTCATAAAAATTAGAGTAACGAAATTCAGTAAAACGTAATATCTGTGACTTGGATTATTCGTGAAATTTAATTACATAGAAAATAAAAAGGTAACAAAGTAAGCACAACTTTAATCAAAATAGATGTTTAGTGAATTCAGTGCAGCCTGGATTAGCGAGTCTCATGAAACACTCGTATTTAAACACTCAAAAACAGTGTATTTCTTCGAGATATCTGACAAAATAGTCAGGTTTTTACGTAATTTCAGTAGTGATTAATTACTTTTATTATATAACCAATGAGATATTTCTCGTTCTTTAGTACTAACCTGTTTTCCTCTAATTTAATATTGAAAAAAAGTTTCGATGTTAGATTTTATATATATTAAAAATATTATTATAATGAAAGGGGATTTCAGATACAAATTTTGCCATTAAGCAACAGCGAAAATTTCTATCAAATTCTTGAACACATTATATATATAGTCTATTGATTATAAAAATACATAGAAATAAATTTTCAGTGGAGTACGTTAAATATTTGAGAAAATCCTTTCATATGTCTGATAAGTTTATGTGTCGTAACAATTTAGTTTGTTACAATTATTTTGTTACTTTCGCGACTTACCTCTCCAAACTTTCAGGTGTCACCTGTACACTGCCATTGCCATGATTCTTTTTCAATTCCTCTTCTTCTGCTTTTTGATTAGCCTCCTGTTGTTGTCTGACAGCAGCTTCTAGACTCAGATAATACTCCAAAAGACCGTTTCTTTCCTTGGTGGTTGTATTGTCATTTGAGTCTTTTCTCATGGGACTGTTAATATCGGACTCCGAACAAGTCTGTGTTGTATCAGCAGTGTTGCACCTATTTTTGTGAATTGAATATTCATACAACTTGTAAAATAATGGTTTCATGGAAACAGCCTAAGCTATCATTAGTGTCGATAAAGTACTTTAAATTTCCATCAAGACGACACCAAACATGATATATATAAGTGACAGCGCTGTGAATACTCTAACGAAGAGAAACTTAAAATAATTCGTAATTTCATGATAATAGTAAAATTATAGCTACTTGTTTATAAACTTAAATATCTTCCTTTTATTAAATTATCCGTCTGTTAAAAGCAGTGCTGGTTTAACCAAGCATGGGGATCCAACTAAATCATATTCATTTTAAATTATAACTTTTATCAACGACCAGATTCTTGAGAAAACTCAACTTTGTAAAAATTAATATGCCGAAGTTGATAAAAATAATTAAACAAATGTCAAACAACTAAAACGTTGTATCGTACTAGGCCCACGCATTCTTGGGGGATTAATAAGATTTTTCATAAAAACAAAAGGATAAACGATTTTCATGAAATGATAAAACCATTTAAATTTAATCAAAATAATGAAACTTAATTTGTAAAACTACAAATATTATATATTTTAATGTCTATAGCTGTTGTAAAACTCGATTAAAATGTAAAACTCCATTAGAACTCTTTTTTTTTTGAAGGCATAAGATAAAGACACTCATGCTAGAATGCAAACAAAGAGAAAACAGTTAACTCCTAATTTAATTAATTATCAATAAAATTGCACTATATGTCGTCTACTTCAGCTTGTAAGTTAGCACATTCAGTTATACATGTTTAATCTTTTTGTTTCATACAGTTGCTTAGTCGTTTTTGGTTTTCTATTACCCTTTCACATATCTGTGCTCATCTGTTCATTCCCGTAATCTGGTCCATTAATCTACTCATCTAAGTAAAAACAAAATAAAGACCTACATGTTATTATCTCTGTCCGGGTTTGCCATGACTGTCTCCGTTTGGCCAAAGGTAGAGTTCAAATTGATGTCCAAAGATTCTCCATTCTTAGCCTCGCCACTGTTCCTTACCGCATCCCACTTTTCAAACAAGCGTTCATCCAAGCCAATTGGGTTGAAGGTTGGTTCCGGGTTGCTGTTGATGTCGGCTGGGTTTAGGTGGTAGTTGGGGTTGGGGAAACTTAAAACTTCGTTATCTACCAAAAATATTCAGAGTTAAGTTATGATAATTAAATAAGTGTATTTAGTTCTATATTTAGCAGTGAGTAAAAATAGGCAACATGTGTAATTAGTAAATTAATAGCAACATGTAAACGGCTATTCATATTGTAAAAACGAAGATGCAGGCTGGTGATGACGCTGGCTATTAATTCTATAACGGTAAAATTATATATTTGTAGCTTTACGAATATATGAACATAACTAAAATACACCACGTTTTGTGAGCACTGAGTGATTTTAGAAATTCGAGGTTGAACTCATAAGCAGCTGTAAAATTTCTAGGTTAGGTTCATTGGAAATGTGTAATTTGATTTAACAATATCAATTGGAAATGTGTATTTTGATTTAACAATATCAATTGGAAATGTGTAATTTGATTTAACAATATCAATTGGAAATGTGTAATTTGATTTAACAATATCAATTGGAAATGTGTAATTTGATTTAACAACATCAATTGGAAATGTGTAATTTGATTTAACAACATCAATCAAGCTGGCTTTTAAAGTTTTTTTTTTTTTTACAAAGCTTACGAAAATAAGTCTTAGATATTGTTATGTAATTTTATCAGGCGAAAGTACAAAAAACGCGAGTTTTATCTTGGTGCTCTGCACACACATAAAAATATTGATAAATAAAACATAAGTGCCTTGCGTAAAAAACATTAACACCATAATGTGGCGAGACACTGAGACGTACCATGTAACAACGTGAGACACTGAGATGTGTCATATAATGAAGTGAGACATTATGATGTGTATATACAATAAGGTGAGACACTGAGATATGCCCATATAATGTAGCAAAACACTGAGATGTGTCATATAATGAAGTGAGACATTATGATGTGTATATACAATAAGGTGAGACACTGATATATGCCATATAATGTAGCAAAACACTGAGATGTGTCATATAATGAAGTGAGACATTATGATGTGTATATACAATAAGGTGAGACACTGATATATGTCATATAATGTAGCAAAACACTGAGATGTGTCATATAATGAAGTGAAACATTGAGAAGTGTCATATAATAAGGTGAGATACTGAAATGTTCCAATAAAACGTAGTGAAACACTGAGGTGTGCTAATAAAACGTAGTGAAACACTGAGATGTGCCATATAATATCAAAACTCAGGCATGCCATACGATATCAAAACTCAGACATGCCATACAATATGAAACTCAGGCGTGCCACATAATATGGCAAAACACTGAGATGTGTCATATAATGAAGTGAGACATTATGATGTGTATATACAATAAGGTGAGACACTGATATATGTCATATAATGTAGCAAAGCACTGAGATGTGTCATATAATGAAGTGAGACATTATAATGTGTATATACAATAAGATGAGACACTGAGATATGCCATATAATGTAGCAAAACACTGAGATGTGTCATATAATGAAGTGAAACATTGAGAAGTGTCATATAATAAGGTGAGATACTGAAATGTTCCAATAAAACGTAGTGAAACACTGAGATGTGCCATATAATATCGAAACTCAGGCATGCCATACGATATCAAACTCAGACATGCCATACAATATGAAACTCAGGCGTGCCACATAATATGGCAAAACACTGATATGTACCATGTAAACTGGTGAAACACTGTGATGTCTCTGGTTTTCTTATCTTCTCCTTAGCTATCTTGTCTACCAAAATACAAGCTAAGCTTCAGAAAAATTCGTCAACCCTAGTTATGTTGATAAAGAAAGATAAGAATTATAACAATAGGGAAGTCCATCTCTGCTGATTTAATGAACTGATCTAAGGAAGTTTCTGAATTTCTAGCTAGCATAAGCCTTGTATACTGATGTGTTGAAGTAATCCTTAGAACATAATGTAGGAGAACACATTACAATACTGAAACACAAGTTTTTGTTTTTACCATAATTTACCTAATACAAGTAATTCATTCCTCAGTTTAAGGTTATCGTGTTTCTTTTTCTGTGAAATTTGACTATCACGCCTTGGAAATTGAGTTCATTCATTTACGTAGCTAATGACACTGACGTAAGATTTAAAAGTATCTTCGTATCATATCGCATCCTTTACCTTCTATTCTATTGGATGAACTGTATATTTAACAAACCATTAAAACATACAGTGTCAACATCGATAGCTATCGGTAAAACATAATGAGAAGGAATAATCAACAAATATTCATATTACTTAATCATTAACGTGGTACTGTACAGCAGTAACACAAAGCAAGACGTACATAATTGTGATTAAGTTAGGTATAACAGACACTCATTATGGAAGATTTGTGTATGACGAGTTCGTTCAGTGGTGAATGTGAGGGTTCATAACGCTAAAGATTAGGTATCGATACCCGCGGTAGGCACAGCGCAGATAGCCAATTGTGTCCCAAAAACTAAATAAACGACACAACTAATAAGCTTAAGAATTACATATGTTGTTTTTCGTTCCACAGTATCGTGTAATTCTACTTCTCATCAGTAACCATGGGCAGATCGGAAAACACGACTAGGCTTGTTATAAGTTATAGTGGTTTTATGCATGTTACGTGTTTGGTGTTTTGGTTGTGTTTTTCGTTCCACAGTATCGTGTAATTCTACTTCTCATCAGTAACCATGGGCAGATCGGAAAACACGACTAGGCTTGTTATAAGTTATAGTGGTTTTATGCATGTTACGTGTTTGATGTTTTGGTTGTGTTTTTCTTTCCACAGTATCGTGTAATCTATATACTATACCCGATTTTGTGTATTGCATTTAAAGTTACTTGTTAAAAACTTTATATGTATTACTAGCCGCTCCCTTTGCTTCGAGAGAAGACGATATACACAAACAACATAAATGTTTGAGATATCTACTGTATCATTCATATATTACATACAAATAGACATCATCAAAACAAATTTATTACACTTAACAACAATACAAGTATAAAGATATATATATATATACTTAATGTATTTATGAATTCATTTTAAACAGAATTAGATCGTAAATAAAACTAAAATATAAATATACATTTTAGGAAAAACAGTTTGGTAGCAGTAGTTAAAATGAATTAAGTTACTATAGTTACAGACTGATCATAGATAAGAAATGAGATGAATCGGTGATAGGAATTATAATAAAAACCAGTCAGTTGCCGTGTTCTTATATAGCATTGATTCATTAGGTGTTAACCATGTTTAAACGTAATGCATGTAAAAACATTAAATTTATTTTGTAGCACTCGAGCAACGATTATTCCCAATACAATGAACTGTTAGATAATACATTATACTTTGACTTACTCCTCCCATCTGGTTTTATTAATCACCTTTTTATACCTGGATATCGATCCAGTAGTCCGTGGATGAATAAACCTAACAAACTGGTGTCCTTTACTTTCCAAACTATCAAGTAATATTCCCAATACAAAGAACTGTTAGATAATACATTATACTTTGACTTACTCCTCCCATCTGGTTTT